GGCTAAACGTCTTCAAACAAGCCATTTAGGGGTCGTGATTCTCTACGACAGGTTTACTGCGAAAATTGGACTTCACTCCTATGGCTAATAAGGGAATAAGCGAGGAAGTACTGTCGATAATGTGACTCTGACGTGATGACAGGATATGTGCTGTGCGTTTGTGGGGAAGTTAGTGACCAAACCATGTGGGACAATGCCAGGTGGGACTCCAGGGTTGACAAGGGAGCAGGTGTCTATTACATACAGAGCAGAGGGAGGGGGAGGCAGAGAACGGGTGCGGATGAGGATCATAGAAACTCTTGGCATCTGCGTTACCTGCTGCCTCCCTTGCAGTGCCCTGCCAATAATGGAAGGAAAAGGAGGGAGGTAGAAAATGAAAAGGAGTAATAGTAGAAACTATTCTTGAGGCAGCAGCAAGTGTAGGGGTGACCTTTGTAATAGCAGCTATTCATGTGTTTAAGATTATATTCTCCCTTGTAGCACATGGTCCTTAATCATTATGGTGCTCAATTTTTTTATTTTTTAACAATTTCTTAAAAGCACTAATATACACTGTGTAATGACATACAGTGTTAATGTCTGTAGCATACATGAAGTCTGCATGGAAGTTTTTGCCATCCAGTAGCAACTGCAAAAAAAGATGTATTTTGTTCTTATTAATTTAATATTATTATTCATCACGGTATTTGTTTTTGCATACTTTGACTTACTTTGTAATATGAGTGACAGTTGGTAAGTTGGTACTGTCTGGCGGGCAGAAGCTTTGCGTTTGGGATGATTTTACTGGATGAATGATATTGACATAGGAACATCTGCCGAGTTTATTTCCAGATTTTGTAAATTGATTGGTCTGTGTTGTATTTATAGCTGAGTCCATGGTATGTTGGGCATGGGCATCACCACTGTGGTGGCTACAGTGGGGCAGCTGTGCAAGTGGAAAGATGACGTTTCAATGTCTGAATCCTCCAGTCTGCATGTCAGTGTGTCCTTGAGTAAGATGCTGGACTCCAAATTGCTTCTGATGCATAGAATAATGTGCTGTATACACGTGTGTGAATGGGAAAATGCCTTGTGGTGTAAAAGGACTGCACGTGGTGAATATGGCTAGAAATGTACTGTGTAAAATCAATACGGTTTACTAAACTGAGATTAGAAGGTAATGCTGGCTAGCTTGGTTAGCAGCAAGCTAACTCACTAAATAACCGACCTTTATTGGTTTAACTGTGTTAGAATATTTTGTTTAATTACCTTGTTAGTGCAGAAAGAAAGTAGACCTTAAAAATAAGCTAATGTCCCAAAAAGCAAATAACTTTACACACAACCTTACAATTGAAATTTTAATTGAGATCTCTCTAGCACTGATAGTCACATGTTAAGGTACTACAGTGCAGCCACTTGGCCTACATAACAGTATATGGTAGTCACTGTCATTTTTTTAACACATGCCTATATAGCTGCCTTGTTGCCTACAGCAAACTGATACATGAAAGTCTTAGAAATGAGCAAAATTTTAAGAATCTTTTAGCAGCACAAAATAAATTCTATCAACCTCCATACAGATATCTCGAAAGATGAACATCTAAATTTGCAGTCAAATGACAAAAATATTAATGTTGCAATCTGGGTTAACTGACCTTTTATTAAAAGCTCTTTGTTTTCGGGAGAGCACGGCAGAGCCCAAATCAGAGTGTTTAATCAGCACAGTTTATCTCTCTGCCTCGTGTCTGCATGGGCCATGGATGGAAGGTTGGGGGAGCATTAGGCTATCATTGGATAGAGCATTGAACAACTGTCAGGGATGCAGTCCATGTCATTTGTCATGTCTCCCTGGGGCTTTATGACAGCAAGTGAAGCTGGAAGCTGCAGACCCAATCACTGAACCACCCATCTAGTCCCAGCAGATGCGTTTACCACCCTTCGCCATGGTTGACCATCAGGCTGGGCAGCTGAGCACCAGAATATCAATACGGCTCAGACTCAGCTGGGCCCCTGGGACCATCTACGAGGCAAACAGGATAGCCTTGTCTCCTTATGGAAGGCAGAGACTCATTGCCGCCAGGGAGACCAATGTAAACATGGCAGAAGGACGCTCTCTAGCACAAAATGCCAGTTTGATTCACTCCAGAATGGTCTTTGAGATTTGGAAGTGCAACACCTGAGACAATTATCTCCAGATTTGGCTCTTCTCAGAGAGGGAGACAGATGAGTCTATTGAAGGGCCGTCTGTGGGAGGAGTGGAGAGGAGAAACAGTAATCCTTTTGTGTTCCTCATCTGCACTGTCCTGAGCCGTGTTTGGGTGTAGGACGAGTAGGAGGGAGCGACTGAAGAGAAACGAGTTGGCTGTTCCTCCTCCCGTCATCTGAAACCTGAAGTTTATCCTCTGAGTCAATGACAGGGCTTCTCCTTTAAACCGGTTGGTGCTTAGTGGAGGTGGTAATTTTGTGCAGAGATAAGCCCTTTATCTAATGATGGGGTAGAATAATTCTTTAAGTGGCAACACTTGCGATTCCTTCTCTCTCTCTCTCTTTTTTTTTCCTGTTTCTCTCAGATAGCCGATGTATTGTCATGTTTCTGCTATGTTCCACACGGTTGTTGTTTATGTCCTGCGGCTGTTGATGTCGGCCTCGGCGTGAAACAGGGACGCTGTCTGCTTACCCAGACGGCCCCACAGTGGCACAGCTATGGGATAAATTGTGGAGACATGTTTATCAACATAGAAGAAGTGCAAGTTACCCCTTGTTGGAAGAGAATAATGGGACCTAATTGAGCTGTAACATGCTGGCTGGTCGCCAGGCCCTTGAATTGAAAACTCTCTCCATCAGAAGGGGGTCTGAGGAGAGGGAGGGTGCTGTTAAAAACACTGCAGGACGTACTAACATAGATGTGAGACCCGTAAACCTATTAGCCACACTTGGATCCGGTTTTTATCAAATTAAAAGTAACTCAGGAATCTGCGCCTTTACCTTTGAGCGTGATGCTTTTAGCAGAAAGTGCACCTGAGCGGCCTTTTCCGTCAACTAAAGCACAGCCGTGGTAAAGTCAGATCAATTCTCTGGAGGAACAGCACAGCCTGTCTCCTGGCACCTGCCTTGCCAAGAAGAGGAGGGGGAGGAGGAGGAGAGAAAAAGAGAGGGAGCGTGAGCGGGTGGGAAAGAGGAAAAACCCAGCTGCCTCTGTGCCTGAGCCCCGTGCTGCTTTTAAAGGAGTGGGAGGGAGAGGAGAGGGAGAAGCAAGGAGACTGCTGGCACCATCTGTACATGTCTTTTGTATTCTAGCCCTCATCTTTACACAGAGTGAGGCTGGTGTGCTCAGTGTTCAAATGAAAGGATAGGAGGTGCCTTTTGGGGTGCAGTGCTCTGAGAGGAGAAGGTGTGTGTTTGTGTGTCGAAGCAGAAACTCAGTTTTGTCCTCGGAAAATTCGCCACACTCAGAGGACATCTTGTGTCCTATTTATTTTACGCCTGTGTGTGTGTGTGTGTGTTATTATAAGCTCGTGCTGTTTCTTTCCTTGTCTGAGTGTGCTGGTAAGCTTGTATGGTTTGCAAGCAGCCATGTGTGGTCAGATGTCTGGGTTGCCATGTTTGTGATGGGAGTCAGAAGCTTTTGTTTGTTCCTCCTTCCTATCAGCCCCATTAGACTGATGTCTCCTCTCTCGGTGATTCATTCAGCCTTCTGTATTTTCTTTATTTTTAATCTCGGTTGTTTCTCCCTTGTGCGTCTGCATCTCTATGTGTGTGTGTGTGCGTGTAATATGTGGCAGCCCACCCTTGCATGTGGCAGCAGGGTGCATCTGCCTGCGAGGACAGCGCGCACTGTCTGCTGTCATATTGACGTGGCTTTTTTGCGCGAAGCCAAGCACTCTGATTCACCCACCCACCCCTCCCGCTCCTTACTCAGCCTAGAAGTGCTGTGAATCATAAGAGGAGGTAGCTGCCCTGCTCTTTGATTGAATCCACATTCCCTTTCTCCTCAGACAGCCACAGAGAGAGGCTAGAAGGAGGCAGAGGAAGTGAGAGGGAGAGAAAAGGGAAAAGTGAGTCTTTTGTAGTTGGCACAGTACAAACACATGCACTGCAGATGAAAAGCATATGATTTGATCAAAGGCACTCTGTGGTAGCTACCTAACCAAGTGGTAGGTAGGTGGGGAGAAGGGAAGGACTGGAATTCATTTGCAGGCCCAGAGTGAACCCTAGTGGCCATGAGCTACAGTGGCATGCATGATTTAGGCTAATCCTTTATATTGCAGCTTAAAGGTACAGGCTTTGGGCTCTTAAAATGTTCCAACATTTCTTAGAACAAACACAATCATGATTTAGAAAATTCTGTCCACGGGTAGACTTTTCAAACTAAATAAAACTGAACAAAAAGTAACAGGATAAAAATATTTTAAATAGCAGAGCCTGTGCATGTGGGTCGCACATGGCTATTTATGCAATGACATTTAGGTGTGGTTATGTGAGTATTACTGTAAATATAAGCACAGTTGATATAAATCAATGGCCCCAGTGTGCACTTGTGTGAGGTATGAATATAAGCTGTTTAGTGCATTTCCCCCAAACACTCCTGTTATTCACTAACTACAAGTGCCAGAAAATAAACCGCCCTAATTTTGAAATAAATTATTTATTTAGTAAATAAATAAATCATAACAACCTGTAAACATATCACTCTTGAGCAAACATTGTTTTTCACATCTCATGAATGATAGGATGTCTTTGTGTTTAATGTTGTTGCATTGTTACATACTGTTTGCTTGTTCCATTTTGCAGGTACCTTGCACAGAATATAGTTCCACAGTTGTGCCATAGGGTACAATGCATATTTATTTTTGTGCACTTTTTTCCAGTCAGGCCATTGCTTTTTGGATTTTTAACATGAACTTTTGCTCAGAAGTTTTTTGCTTTTTTTGTTCTTAAGTGCTTGCAATAGTAGGGTGGTACCTCTGTAGTTATTTCTAACAGGTCTCCAACAGTACTTATGTACTCTGCTCTCTTTCCAGCCCTCCTCTCCTCGTGGTGTGAGGAGCTTGGACGCCTCCTCCTCCTCCGTCACCAGAAGAACAGGCAGAACGAGCCTCCAGGAAAAGTGCCCATGCAGCCCCCCATGAGTTCCATGAAGCCCAGCCTCTCACATGGGTCAGTGTTCACTGCTGTGCTTTTTGGCTTGTGTGTGAGATGTGTTTGTGTGTGTTGGGTATGCGAACAGACAGACTGGGCCCTTGGGGAAAGCCCTTCCTCTCTGTGTGAGGCCCGTTGTTCCTTATGGATCAGTGGCTAGACAAACTGCCAGACAAACTGCATATAGCACAGTCAATAGTGGCAAACAGTAACTCAACCATTTGCCTTTCAAGAAGAAGAAGAAAAAGACGCATTCATATTTTTTTAAGCTTAACCACATAACTTGCCTTTTCCTGTCTTTCAGCAGTTGCAAACATACTTACTAGAACTATACTGTAAATACTTGTGCTGCTTGGCAAACCATTTTGTTTTGCTTAAGTGAAATGTGTTTTCTATTCCCTGCAGAGATGGGTCTTTTCCCTATGACTCAGTTCCCTGGCAGCAAAACACCAACCAGCCTCCCGGTTCAGTGTCTGTGGTGACCACCGTATGGGGTGTGACCAACACTTCCCAGAGCCAGGTGAGATCCCCTTTTTGCTTGAGAGTAAAAATGTGCCTGTTCCAAGTCTTTATATTTAATAGCTGTAATAATACCACCTGCAGATTTGTGTATTTGGCAGTGGTATTCTGAATTGAACCTCATCTGAAATCAGTGAAACATTTACATGTGTTTTTCCCTCTATTCCTAATGTGTAACAGGTGTTGGGGAATCCCATGGCCAACAGCAACAATCCCATGAACCCTGGTGGTAACCCTATGGCCTCGGGTATGTCTGGTAACACTCCAGGTATGAACTCTCCTCAGTTCCCCGGTCAGCAGCAGCAGTTCCCCAACAAAGGCAACTCAAACCCGGCCTATATGCAGCAGGGGATGTACGGTCGACCCAACTACCCTGGAGGAGGAGGCTTTGGTGGCAAGTAAGTAACCAGTAGATGGATTGCTGATGGTCACTGAAGTGATTAAAAATGCTTAAAGAACTAATTCAGACAATTACTTTAATTAATTCTCTTCTCTAGAACTTCTTTAATATCTTTTTGCTTATTCTTATAGTTACCCTGGAGGGCCGAATCCTGGACCCGGTGGAATGGGCATCCCTCCGCACTCCCGTCCTCCCTCTGACTTCACCCAGCCTGCCGCTGCTGCCGCCGCAGCTGCAGTTGCTGCTGCAGCCGCCACCGCAACTGCCACTGCAACAGCAACTGTAGCTGCCCTGCAGGAAACCCAGAATAAGGACATGAACCAATATGGACCGGTAGGATGACGCACAAACTGATAGCATAAACTGTTGCCTTTTGTGCACGTGTGAGACTACGGTACTTAGAATTCATCAACTTTGACTTTTGGCTCTATCCCTTTAATGCTAACAATAGCAAGCTGGAGTACCACATTTATTTGCAACAGAAGCAAACAAACTGTTTCTCAGATGTTGATACCATTTTGTTTCTTTCTGGTGGAGTTTTTTTTTTGTTTGTTTGTTATCTATAAAATCTTTTGATTCAACAGAAACTGCGTAATATTGACAGTCAAGTCTGAGGTGGTTGATCAAATTCTTTTTGTCTTTCAGATGAGTTCCTCTTTCCAGATGGGGCCAAATCAGGCATACAACAGTCAGTTCATGAACCAGCCAGGACCCCGCGGCCCTCCATCCCTTCCTGGAAACATGGGCACAGGCATGAATGCATCCAACATGAGCGGGCCTCCAATGGGAATGAACCAACCCAGGGGCCAAGGCATGGGGCCTTTTGGGGCACACGGTCAAAGAATGCCTCAGCAAGGCTATGCAGGTCCTCGGGCTCAGGGCATGGGTATGCAAGGCATAAAAAGACCGTACCCAGGGGAGGTGAGTGGATTCAACAGTGTCACCTTAAATATGTAGCTCCGTTGCTATATGCTGAATGTATTGGTCACTGATTCCACAGCCAAACTATGGTGGGCAGCAGTATGGACCAAACAACCAGTTCCCTAACCAGCAGGGCCAATATCCCACACCAAATGCCTCCAGGCCGCTGCCATCCCCCAACTACCCTGGCCCGAGGATGCCAGGACAGCAGCTGCAAGGCCAATACCCACCACCCAGTGGTGCCATAGGCCAGTACTATAAGGTGCAGTGTTAAAGCTATTCAATAAAAATGTGATGGTGTATTTCATATTGCATATGCAGTTTTATCAAAGTCTCACTGACATTTTTTTTAGCTAATAATGGTGTAAATTTGACAAATTATTTGTTTAATTAAAATCACAGCAAGAGCCACCTTTCAATGGCCAAACAAATAACTTCTCTGGGAGTGGCTATCAGTACAACCAGGGAAATATGAATGGGGTAAGTCTACTTTGGTACCAGTTTATTAAAATTTAAAATTACATTATACTTGAATGTACTCTTTAGTGATTTAAGTAGTTGATTTACAACTCAATTTGTGTTTTATATAGCCTCCAAGGCCAGTTGGGAACTACCCTCACTCGCCTGTGCCAGGGAACCCTACTCCTCCAATGACACCAGGAAGTAACATCCCTCCGTACCTGTCGCCAAACCAGGATGTGAAGCCACCCTTCCCTCCTGACATTAAACCAAATATCACCGCACTCCCTCCCCCACCAGGTCAGTAATTAATCAATGAACAGTAAGTTCAAGCGTTTTAAACTTTTTTTTAAGTCTGTGATTTAAGGTTGGTTCTTATCTCCAAAAACAGCAAGCCACAACGAGGAACTGCGTCTGACGTTCCCAGTGCGGGATGGAGTAGTCCTAGAGCCCTTCAGGCTAGAACATAACCTGGCTGTCAGCAACCACGTCTTCCATTTACGGCCCTCTGTACACCAGACACTCATGTGGAGGTAACGCATATTTATGTGCTACTGCTTTTTTCCCCCATCCACTTTAACAGTTATATGGGTCTTTTAGGCTGTAAATATTCTCTTATTGATTTTCATTAGTAGCCAAGAACATTAGATTAAAAAAAAAAAACAACTTTTCCCAGGAACGTGACAAGTAAGGATCATTAAGGCATTAATTTTCAGAATTTTCTGGAGTATTGCAATTTCCTTCATCACTATCTTAAGTAAAAGTCAATTCAAGTCAAGAGTCCTGATATGAGGATTTCTCCTGCTGCCAAGCTGAGATTATATCCTAAGTTTAGCGTCCAATTAATGTTATATATTACCTCAAAAAATTTCCCTGTTAATGTGTGAGAATGAATTCCCGTTATTCTAACTCATGTATCGCATACAGTAACCCTCCATAACCGTAACCGCTTTATATTTTATCTGTGCAGGTCGGACCTGGAGCTGCAGTTTAAGTGCTACCACCACGAAGACCGTCAGATGAACACGAACTGGCCGGCATCTGTCCAAGTCAGCGTCAACGCCACGCCGCTCACAATCGAGCGGGGAGACAACAAGACCTCCCACAAACCCCTGCACTTGAAACATGTATGCCAGCCTGGAAGGAACACGATCCAGATCACAGTCACTGCCTGCTGCTGTGTGAGTACACACATTTCCAGAGCTAATGAAAAAAATAAACAGGTTCATACAAATCCACTCAAGTCAAATGCAAAATGTTTCCCATCAGATGATATTTAATGCTAAAAGAAAGAAAATAACAAAAGGGATCTGTCATGTCTCCTTTTTTTTTTTTCACAACTGATCAAACAGTAAAGAATGGATAAAACAGATACACCTTAGGAGAATGTCTTTGATAGTCACTTAGATGTTTTTTTCCCCCCAGTCGCACTTGTTTGTGCTACAACTGGTCCATCGGCCCTCAGTTCGCTCTGTCCTCCAAGGCTTACTGAAGAAGAGGCTTCTGCCTGCAGAGCACTGCATCACCAAAGGTATTCACATTCATTTTGCACCCTTATGTCCTCATTGCTCTGTACTTGTTTACTCACTGTGTTTCTTCTGCTGCCTCACAGTAAAGAGGAACTTCAGTAGCGTGGCAGCGTCGTCGGGCAATACCACATTAAACGGGGAGGATGGCGTGGAGCAGACAGCCATCAAGGTTTCGCTCAAATGTCCAATCACCTTCCGGCGAATACAGCTTCCAGCAAGAGGGCATGACTGCAAACATGTTCAGGTAAGACTTCAAGGATACACCATCACAGTAACAGTGACAAACAAATAGAAATATACATTCAAAAAATCTATTTTCTTGTTCTTGCAGTGTTTTGATTTGGAATCATATTTACAACTGAACTGTGAGCGGGGGACATGGCGATGTCCTGTATGCAAGTATGTCTAAGGAGTTAAAATGCTAAGGAGTACATGCACTTGCCTTATTTAGATGACTTTTTCTTAAATACTATTTCTCTTTTTTCCTCAGTAAAACTGCGTTGTTAGAAGGACTCGAGGTGGACCAGTACATGTGGGGAATCCTGAATGCTATTCAAAAGTAAGCAGAAATAGGAACATCAGTGCAATCTTATATGCATGTGTATTTTTCTTTTAACTTAACTATTTGATTTCATCTACATTTTATCAGCTCTGAGTTTGAGGAAGTGACAATTGACCCGACGTGTAGTTGGCGGCCGGTGGCTATAAAATCAGAAATTCACATAAAAGAAGATCCAGATGGACCGCTGGCAAAGAGGTTTAAGACAATGAGTCCCAGCCAGATGATCATGCCTAATGTGATGGAGATGATAGCTCAGCTTGGCCCCGGACCCTCACCATACCCATCGCTTCCTTCTGGGCAAGGAGGCAATAACAGCGAATACGGAAGCCAAGGTAGCTCAAACACGTACAGAAAGTACAGTAGCACCCAGAATTATGCAAACAAAGCAGAGCAACAACAAAAAATTTTAAACATATTCTGTCTGTGTCTAGGCAACAGTTACCAGAGCCATGGGAACTTTGATTTCCCTCACGGGACCCCTGGTGGTACGTCGATGAATGACTTCATGCATGGTCCCCAGCTGTCTCACCCACCTGACATGCCCAACAACCTGATGGCACAAGACAAGCCACTGTCCCACAATATGCCTGACACAGTGAGTTTACCAACAATTCCTAATATACTGACTCTGTCATATTGTGTATTTTGTTACATAATGTATACTTTTTGCTTTACTTTGTATATAGACTAACTATAAAAGTGGGAAAATACTGGCAGCAACCAGTTAGCATAGCTTAGCATAAAAAACAGTTACTGGCTACAGCTAAATTAAATATGCAACTTGAGTCAGAATAACTAAACTTACCAATAATTGGCTCCACTTCCATATAACTTACATATTAATAAAGTTAGCCAAGCTAGCTGAGCTAGCCAAATTATGGCTTTAGCTTTATATTTAAAGTGTTTGTTGGAGGTTGTTAGCAGTCACAAAATGAAACAGGTTGAAAGACGTATATGGCTATTCTGAATTATTCCCCCTCTCTTTCTCTACAGATACCTCATTCTGTTGGCAATGACCAACCGCATGGTCCACTGCAGCAGAGTTTACACGCGTCTCCACACCCTGGGAGCCAATCAGGGCAGCAGCTACACCACAGCGGGCCTCCTCAGCCCTCACGACAAGCTCCACCTCCTCAACAACAGCAGCAACAACAGCAACAACAGCAGCCCGGCCCCAACAACCACCCTCACAGCGACCTGGCCTTCAACCCCTCCAGCAGTTTGGACAGCCAAGCAGGGTCAGACATGCCTGAGCCGTCCTTAGACGTAAGTCCTCTGAAACAATCAGAATCTTCACATCTGTAATCTGACATATTTAACAGTTGATGCAAGGAGATTCCTTGAATACTTACATAGCAAATTTTTGTTGTCCTTCCTTCTACCATACAGCTTCTTCCAGAGCTCGCTAACCCAGATGAACTGTTGTCCTACCTGGATCCCCCAGACCTCCCCAGCAATAGCAACGATGACCTTCTATCGCTCTTTGAAAACAACTGAGGCGATTCAGAAACATATAATCACTGACTGCTGCAGTTTCCCTGAGATCCCAAGGCGGTCACTCAGTACTTGATAAACACAAAGATGCACTCCCTTTCTCTTCTTCCTCTTGTACAACTTTCATTCGCCAGCACAGATTGACTGAAAGAGGTTACAACTCAAAGACACGGCAAGGGTTTTCCCTGCCCTCTCACCCAGAGGTGATAACTTTGAACTGTGCAGCTATACTCAGTTGATTTTCTTTTTTTTTAAATGTCACACACATGTGTATGTGTGCTTATTAGGAACGCGTTGTAGCATTTTTTTTTATTCGTGTTTTGTTTCCTTTTCTGAAGAAAAAGGAATTCACTGTAAAAAAAAAAAACAGAAAAATAACTGAAAAAACCTGCGCTATCTGGCCAGTGCGTCTTATCTTATTCCAATCTGAGAGGCCACAGCTTCCTGGTGTCGCAGCTCCATTCCCTGACTGGTCTGGTTAGTCGCACTTTTTTGTCCACCACACATCATTTAAAAGCACAAGAGATTCTGACAACGCAAAAACACAAAAATCAGCCTTTCCAAAAAGAAACAAAAAATAAGATCAATGTGTCCATCTTTGACAAAATGTTTTTTCTAAAACAAATTTAAGCTCCTCTGCCAAGATTTTAAAAAATATTTTTGGGACTGATCGGCATTGTCTACGGTTGTGCTATTTTTTAAACACATAGATGTCCCTCCTTTTTGGTTTCGACAGCAGAAAATGAAAAGAAATTGCCCCAATTACACCAAACAACATTCATAACAGAGTAGCATATCTGTCCATCTACATATTGTAAAGTTATTGTCCCCTGTACAAAGAAGGGATTTCATTGGAAACGTAAGGTACAACGTGCGAGGCTTGGGTTCCTGTGACGCTCCTGCTTTGTCGCTTCCTGCTACAACTCCTTCCATCAGCTCTGCATGAGCCATCGTGTTTCTCTTGTCAGCAGTTTTACTGAATTACATCTCTCTTCCTGGTTAAATGATGTTGTTTAAGTAATCTACAAAGTGCATGTGTGCCAAGCCCTTGTCTAGTGCTGTTCCAAGTGGTGATAACAAAAGATAGTGTGGTTTTTATCAGTTGCTGTTTCCACAGACCTTGTTTGTTTGCTTGTTTTATGATTTTCTGTCAGGTTTAGTATGATTTTATTTAACACTAACATTGAAGGGATGATGTTGATGTCAGCAGTACATTTATCATGTATTTGCTGCATATACTGTGTTATGTTTATTATGTTTTTTTTATTGTTGCTGCACAATTAAACTATACATAAACCTTTTGGGAAACTGCTCAACATCACCAAAGTTAGAGGGATGAGAATGGAAATGTTTGTGCTTGCTTGGTCCTGTAAAGACTGAAAGTGTGTGAGTGTGTGTGTGTCAGCGTGATTGGATGTAATATTGGTTTTAAAGATAAAGGAGAGGACAGTTTATCCATCACTGCTGTTCAAGAAGTGGTTTTCAAAGCAGTATTGGTGCAGATTTCTTTCTTTTTGCCACATTTGTTTTCATTTTAATGTTAAAAAAAGAGTGCTGTTCTGTATGCAAATGTATTATTTTTTAAGAAATGCTATTGTACTGTAAATATCATTGTGAATATTTTTGTATCATCTTGATAATGTTTGTCCTTCGATCATTAGTCGTCCAACTTAACCACATATGCTCCCAAACCAGCATACGGCTGTCTCGTCTCCACGCCGGGGCGTAGCCAGCCCAAGCATTTCATAAGCTATCGCAGGTCATTGTCGTTTCCCCCGAGTCGCTTTCCCACCTGTTCATGTCCTAATATTCGTTGTCCCCTTCCTTGCATCAGCTCAAAGTGCTTGTGTATCATCGTTTCAGTTTTCAGACGTTGCACTCAGTTCGAAGCAATATTTTCCCTCATGCTACGATGTATTGATTCAAAATGATCAATGTTGTTTGCTCATGAATTTATGTTGACCTTCAGTGATGCTGAACAGTAATGGGTTTCGAATTATGTGGTGTCAGCTGGCTTTCAGTGTAATTAGTGAGCTATGTGAATATCATAATTGTTGCTAATTGTCAGTGGTATTTTAAAGATATATCACAACCATATTTTAAAGAAATTCATGATATTGTTTATATTTTTGTTATAGAAAAAATGTGGCTTTTTTAAAAAAGCATGAGACCATATACATTTTTATCCCCCTTTGTTCTTGGTAAATTATTTTGTACTGGTTTTCTTATTAATCTGTAAGGCTAGAAATCCAATTTCTTTCAATTGTAGCATTGTGCTGAATCGACCATCCTGATTTCATGTACGCATTATTTTTAAATGTTATAAAAGGAATTTGTTTTTTCCTATTCAGAGCCCTAACTTGTTTCATATTTTAGTCACAAGGAAACATCAAATCAAAAGTCTGTGCTTTCAACAGTTCACTGGTGTGTTTTCATTCTTCGCGATCTGAATTGAAACTTTTAAACAATCCCACGGAAGTCTTTATCATTTCAGTCTTTTTCTTCTTCTTTTCAAATTGGTGAAAAAGGCAGCACCCCTAATTTGTAGTTGCACAATCACAATGAAGGGACATTTCTCTGGGGGGATGTTGTTTTAAAAGAAAAAACAGTTGAAAAAAGAAAACGAGTTAATAAAAAATTTAAAAATAAAAAAAAAAAAACAGAAAGGAAGGGCACGTTCGCTAGTTTGACCTGGAAAGGATTTTAAGACCAGGTCAAACATCCCAAGGATGCCTGTATATATGTAAATTAATATAGAGACATGTGAACAGAAATGTATTCATTTTCCCTGGGAATGTGCATTGTTTCTTCAGAATAATAAAAAGCTTGCAACCCCTCTACTGGAAGTGGCTGAATATGGAAAATGAAACTTGTTAGTTAGTGTCTGTGGGTATCGCTCAGCATTTTGTTCCCACTCTGTATTATACTTTCACCTCTTTTGTTACGGGAACTGGGACAGCAATGTTTTACATGTAATATTTAGCCTAAGTGTTCTAGTCTGTCACCTGCATACTCTGAGGTGCTAAAGCTAAAAACTTAAAAAAACAAATACATTTAAAAAATTAAAAAATACATAAAGCAAAACAAACAATAAAAAAAACGGTTACAAAGAAAACTGCTCGGAGGTGAGGGAGAAGCACGGTGGGAGGGACGGGTCCAGAAGATTGTAACCAATCCATAGTTTGTACAATTTTTGATATCATGAACAGTTGGAAAAATTATACAACCTAAGGTGATTCATGCAATGTGGCCATTGTCTCTCTGTTTGTACATTGTATGTACAATCATTTCATATTCTAAACTGGTGAGAAAATAAAGGAACTAATTGTGATTTTTAGTCTTGCAGAACTGTATGTAGTTAGATGATGTGACGACCTAATATTTATCTAATAAATATGTATTCAGATGATACCTGTATGTCACTGTGATTTTGTCTTTTGTGCACTTGTGATGCAGTCTGCGAGACCTGTCTGACTCGCGTGCTGTTTACAAAAGCACGAGGTGTAAATTATGGATTTTTACTCAAATTTTCATTGAGTTGGCTCAAGGTCGCCTTGCCATTGAGTGAAAAGTTGACAAACTAATAATTACTGACACATCAAAGTAAGGCTCTCATGAATTGCAATCGCCAACTGAACATTTTTTGAGAATCAGTCAACAAAGTAATGGAATTATTTTAGAAAATATCATTATTGAACACTCTGTTACAGTCCTTTTTTTAAAAGTACTGTACATTTTATTATTCTTACAAGATTGAAAAAGGAAAGTGAGAAGTTCCATTTCCAGTTCTACTGTATGTTGATACCAATTAGATGCCTTGTCATAGTTCTCCAGTGTGCAACTTCAGACCATACAGGTTTCAGTTTTTCAGACACAACTATTGGTTCAGTAGCTAATGTTGATTTGAATGTTATGCAACCATGCATAGGTTGATAGAAGTCACTCCCTAAACAATTATGATTCATAAGCTGTCAAAACTGGTTTTATCTAAACATACAACCAGTGACTGAATGTTCAAGAAATATACCAGGTGGGAAAAAGACCGTTGGCGTTAATGTGTAATTCCAGTCTCTTTTTACTGTGAATGTAACTAAATAATAACATTAACACACTACAAGCTAACATTTAGCATTTAAAAACTTCATTTAAAATGAAAAAGTCTTGAGGAGTTTATGTTTTATGTTTATGTTGCGTGCATAAACGGTTGTTCTGTCCTGTATGTAAACATGATAGCTCAAAAAGTTTAGAATTAATTATGTACAGAGGGTGTACACAGGGGGCAAGTTAACAATCCATTAAAATCCATAAAAAAAAATTAAAGTTGACGAGAAAAAAACAAAAAAAACAAAAAACCTTACAACCTTATAATTTTAACTAAACTATAATTCTTCTGAGGATGGTGTGTAATATCAACACAGATCAGGTATAACATTGAGACCGCTAAAAAGGAGATGTGAATAACACTCATTATCTTTTCATCATGGCACCTGTCAGTAGATGGGATCTATTAAAGAACAAGTTGATGTGTTGGATACAGGAAAAATGGGCAAGCGCAAGTATTTGAGTGAGTTTGAAAAGGTCCAGATTGTGATGAGAGGACTGGGTGAGAGCATCTCCTATAGTGCAGCTGTTTTGGGGTGTTCTTGATTTTCAGTCACGAAAGGGTCACGTACATGTGCTACCTATCTAAGCAGTGTTGCGGACAATACAAACCCTTCATGATTCCCTGACGGCTGTGGCCTCTTTCAGCAGGATAACCCGCCCTTGCCACAAAGCAAAAATAGTTCAGGAATGGTTTGAGGAACACAACAACGAGGCTGCCTCCTAGACGTCAATCCAGTTGAACATCATTGGGATGTGCTGGACAAACAAGTCCAATCCATGGAAGCCACACCTCACAACTTAGAGGACTTAAAGGATCTTGGTGCAAAGCACACCTTCAGGGGTGTAGTGGAGTACATGTCTTGACAGCTCAGTGCTGTTTTGGTAGCAAAAGGGAGATCAACACAATATTAGGCAGGTGGCTATAATGTTACACCCAATCAGTGTATGTTTGTATTAGGGGGTGCAACAATACTCGTATCGATATTGAACCGTTCGATACAGTGCTTTCGGTTCGGTACGCATATATATCAAACAATACAAAATGTTTTATTTATTTTATCAACTTTTCTTCTGACGATGCTGTCTGTGTTGAGCGCTCAGTGGATCTGCGTTCGACTACTCCGCCTAGGCTGCACTGTCGAGTGCAGATCCACTGAGCGCAGCGCAAGCTAGCAAGACAG